TTGGTTACAACGATAACTCTTTTCCACCTGATCATTCCATACGATACCTCACGGACTACCGCTTTAGTCTACCTCGCCTTAGTACGGACCGAGCCTAGAGAAGTATAGCCTAACCCCGTGTAACAACAAACACCATTTCTCCCTGACTGTAGAAGTATCGAATCCTGCTCAATAACACAAGCAAGTCGTCCTCAGTAAGAGTGCGCTGTGCTAGAAAGCGAGATAGTTGAATTCCAAAGTCAAAGTCGGATTTGAGAACCTCTTCTGTCCTTACCCACTGTGCGGCCATGGTTGAAAGGAATGCCCATGTATCCTTATAGCGGTCATCGCCCCCATCAAATGAGAAGTAGCTCCAAATTCCATCAATCGAGGAACCCTTCACCATATCTTCGAAGACGAATCCAGAAAGCCATGGCTTCGGGTTTTGCCCATGGATAACCAAAACGTTGGAATCAGTGCTCTCCCGCCAGTTGATGTATTGTTGGTTGTTAGCCAGAGGGTTTCTCTGATACCGGTTGAATAAGACTGGTCGGACCGGAGGCGCCTGTGCCACGAGTGCGTTCATATATGATGATTCCTCTGCTAATTTCACCACTCCCTGATCTAATTAATGTTAGTTCAATTATTGCTATGATCTTCCCCCTCGGCAGCTTTGATTCACCCTACCTAGCTTGAGCTGATCTTTGAATTCTTGGAACGTCAATTTTAACTTCGAAATCTGCTCCGCGCAGGCCAAATCCGCATGGGGCTGAGGAAATTCGTATACAGATACTTTTTTAGGGGCGAGCGTCGCGTCGAATTCATTGAAAATCTGGAAAATGCAAAGGGTTAACTCAACATTATTCAGCCATTCCGCGTGTACTGCATCTTACGCATTCATTTAGGTCTGTGAGGGTAGATCGGACACTGATGATCTCCGTCTTTAGAAGAATCTTGGACTCCACGAAAGCCAGATTGCAATCGATGACGGCCCTTGCGAGGCTTTTGATCTGAAGCAGCGAATTTCCCTTGGGTAATTTTGAACCCGAGAAGAAAAGCCGTGCAATCTTCTCTTCCATATCGAAGACGCTATGCCATCTGTGTGGATAGCCGATGAATATCTAAGTCGCGGTTCGTTAGCCAAGTACCATAAGATTGACTGACTTCAAGGGGTTGAATACAATCGATTTAGTGGACTCGGCGATGTCGGCATATCCTGGATCCATGACGGATTGATACAAAGCCTAGAAGCAGTCATTTGGCTGACACTTTCCATGTGAAGGGCATTTGTTACTTGTTTGACGATCGTGCCTCCGATATCATGGCAAACGAAGACGATCGGGCGGAACAAATCCTACAAGGAGATCATCAATAAGTGCGCGCCTGCATCTCTCCTCCTCCCCCTCACACAAGAGGTATATACCTTGTCTTTTGCATTCCTTGCCTCTGCAACCGTACGCAGTAACTTTGATGCCTCCTTAGTGATGCCCTCTTTCGAGAGCGTCTTGAAAGCATTGTAACCATAATTCATCAAGCGGAAGCCCAGATTGAACTCGAATTCCTTCAGTCCACGGACTGTCTCTCGTTTCGATTCATCCCGCGCTTGCCAAGTTGTCTCACGGTGGCCGTGAAGACCGTGGATGGTGACAACGCTGCATGGTCAGAACATGGATATGCGCCCATGATGCACAAGCCTCGCCAGATTGACCTACTCGAATTCGTTCGCAAACATATGATTATCCTTGCCCTGAAGCCCATAGTCGCCGCTGCTTCCTTCCTCCTCTGCGACAACCGGATCAATCACATCTGCAACGCTGCTCCGCAACCCGTTGGCATCGGTGCCTGGCGCGAGGTCAGCATCTTCAGCAGGAGACGTGTCGTGCTCGTCGCTTGTCGATGATGATGACGTTGCCGAAGAATGGTCATCATTGTCTGATGCGATACTTGACATTTTCTCCCCGATCCGAATCCCGCGCGCAGAATGGGAGTCGGTCCAACAGGCGTGATCGTTCTGGAAATCGCAACAGCAAAGCGCGAAGCGAGGGGCTGATGTGCTATGCGCCTTCAAGCTCAACTTTCATCACATGGTAGCAGTCATGCGTGCAGCGTGCAGCACAGCCGCATTCACACCAGTGGAACCCTGTCTATATCTAGTCATACCTAGGCGGGGGCCGTTGGGGGCGGAAACTCGTTGGGTGTGAGCGTTTCGGTAGGTGTATCGTGTGTATTGCTATCTATGCTATATGCTGACATACATGAGATGACCGGGGCACGCCATTCGTAGGCTTAGCCTGCCAAGGCTAGTCATGTGACATTTGGGGCTGAAACCCGACAGCATGTGATGCCTATGCAGAATCTAGCTGAACCCACAGCACCCCCAGGTCCTTCAAATTCGGCCGACAGCTGAAATACCTGTTCGTACCCTTAGGATTGCGCTGCGAGTATGTACAGTGTAGGCAACGACCTTGGATTCGAAATCGTGCGAGAAAGTGGTCGCGTAAGCGATTAATATGTAATTTAGCATCCACCCCCACTTTGAACGCGTAGAGAGGGCATGGAGTTATCATCTAGTGGGTGATACAAAGAAGTCTGCACCTGCCGGCACATCTCAATCTGGTTACTGCTGACGCCCCAAGCTGTGGCTGCTGGCAACATCCCCACTTTCAGTACGACATATGCTCCATACACCGATTTGGGATCTCTGGCCTGCTTTCGATTGCATGAAGCTTGCATGTTCATGTCCGGATCTCCACAGCTACCGCTAAATCACACAAGTGGTACATGGGAACCGCCGCGGCTGCAAGTGTTGTATGTAGCTATCCCAGTGCTATCAAGGATGAGAAAAAAGGTAAGGATTATGTCAGATATGCTCATAACCCAAATCATAATCCAAACTACAACCCAGTTGTGCGTGATCATCCTAGAAGTAGGAAACCCAAACAATGCTACTCATGTATGTACAGGATCGAGAAAGATTCATTTGATACAGTCAACATATTTTTGCAACCTTCAAACTTTGGTAAAGTCATATCTAGTATTTACATTGGATCTGCGCGTGAATCTATTCTAGATATGCTTTACTGCAGAGTCAAACACGGTTTGGAAAGTCACGCCCGAGATACTGTCCAGGTCCACAGATTCAAGTGCGGTGACATCGTACGTCTGCAATTTGTTGGTAGGAGGCAGCTGTGGATCAAAGAGCAGAGGATCATCTTTCGGTCGTACCCCAAACAGCCTTTGAAAGCTCTTCTCCATAGAACTTTTAGGATCAACCTTGGCTTCTATCTTGAAATTGCAGCGAAACCGCTCCTCGTCCTGCCTTTTCAACAAGATTGCCGTACGCATCGTTGATGGTACCCCAGTCTTGGTGGTACTATTCTCAATAAGTGACCACGATGCGCTGTCCGCGTTCCCATAAGTCTTTCCTAAAAGATCAATTGAACCAATCACTTTTGTCGCATCAGTAGTTTCTCTGTTGACGCTGCATTCCCAGCCCAATTCCGCCCCCAACTCTATACCAACAAGCGGAGGTGCCCCCAAACTGACGCCCGCCATGGTTGTCTTCTCTTCCGTCTGTGTCGTCTGAACCATAACCATACTATCGTAGGGTGCGATCCGAAACACTTCGGGCTCGGGGCCACCGGGTTGCTCAGGTGCAAACTGGAGGGTGATGTTCACTGCCAAAATGCGCCTTGCTGTCTTGCGGCTGTCGAACCTGAAGTTGAGAACTATAATTGTCGCAAATTCGTTGGCATCGGGGCTCACGAGGCCGTGAATCACGTCCAGACAGGTGCAGCGGATGTCCAGTGCCCCTTTACGCTCGGTAACATTGGTACGTTGGTAAGGCGCTGACGGATCGTTTCTGGTGCGAAATGAGCTGCCTTCGTCGCCGCCAGGATTCAGCATAATATCAAAAACGTCGTCGTCGTCGTCGTCATCCTCGTACTCCTCTTCTATTTGCACGAGGTCGTTGTTGGAAACTTCTGCCATGGTCGCGTCAAGATGCTTATGGAAACCAAGGCTGCCTCGGGAAGGAATACATGTCGTTTCTCAGGCGCACCCATGAATTATAATATAACTATACTTAGAAAGGAAGCTGTGCTGTGTGGGGGCCATTTCTTAGTCACGAGCCCTACCACACCAATCATCCCCCATTTCAAGGATTGCCCCGCCGCTAAAGCGTGAACACAATTATGGCAGCCGTTTTGCCTGCTGCCTGCATCGGGCCAAGCTCTGCAGTGCGCCATCGAATGTGTGCATGCGCTGATTTCCCAGCCCATCTGCTTTCCGGTAGGACAACAAAACTTCGTTCATACCAGACTGTATCCTGCCCGTCATGGAAAGCACACGCCTACAAGAACCTGATGAAATGGAAATAGCGAATGGACATGATACTGATAAGGCTGCCGAAAGCGAGACCGACAAGGAGGGGGACTCCAGTGAGTCGGGAAGTGAGGATGAAGAAGAGCACGAACAAGACATCAAAGTCCAATTCGAGCACATCATCGCCGGCTTCAGGGAGGGCAAGCTGAACACCAAAACCATCACCAGCAACCAGGACGAATACAACTACCTTGACCAAAGGACAAACGACCATAATCCGAGGAATCTTCTGCACATGATTGTAGAGGCAGGAAAGGACAGCGCGAGTGCGCTGAAGCCGCTTGTGGAACATGTGATCAAGCAGCATTGTCACCTCATGAAAGAAACGGACAGTGCTGGCACCACGCCGCTGCAGGCGGCCATCATAGGCGGCATCACTAAACTTGTGGAGTATATGTGCGATGCCTATAATGCCAAGGGGGATATCGATGTCGTTCTGGCGCTTGTGGACTCAAAGAATAACAACTGCCTTCACAAAGCCATGCTCAGCAAGCACAAATATGCGCGCAGAATTGCCCTCAAGCTCATCAAACGAGTACGCAATACCAAGACGCTGGAAGCCCAGAATAACGAATTCAGAACCCCGCTTCACATTGCCGTCGAGTGGGAGCGCTGCACAGAATCGCAAATGGACGTCGTGCGCGCACTAGTGAAGGCTTGCGACGCTGCTCTGAACGTCAATGTAGGCGCCGACATCGAGCCGTGTCGGCTATCAGTGTATCGATACCACGAGAAGACGAGACAAGCAGCGAAGAAGGCTGAAGCTGGGGCTAAAGACACAAGAGAAGAGCGCAGCGGTAACAGATCGAGCGACAAGACAGTAACCAGCAGCCGAAACGCAAAGGAAAGTTCTAAAAGTGTACCAGGAGGGCAACAGGTGCCAAAAGCCCCAGATCAGGTCCGTCCAGTCCCAACGCATCAGCTCAATCGCTCCAAGGAACAGCCACAGAGCAGACACAAGGATTCAGCGGCTGAGCAGCAGGATCTTCTAATGAAAGGGATTCAGCGCCAGCCTTCACGGCTCGATACGACCGCTGCAAGAACTGCCCATGTGGATGAATCTAAGCCAGGTGGGAAATTATCTGTGGCGATGTCGCCTGCCGTGTCCAAGGCACCGGCCTCGGGTACTAACAAGACATCGAAACATAGAGAAGTGGTCACAGAGACGACGGCAAATGCAATTCGAGACTTCTTGAAGCTGTATTACATGGGAACCCAAGAAGATCACGAAAGTATTGTTTCATTTCTTTACGGGCCAGTTCAAGGTAAGTCGATCAACAGCAGAGAGCATTGAGTGAGACTAAAGGCGCGACAGAAAAGGAGTTGTACTGGTCATTGGCCGATGGGCCTCCCAACATTTCATTGCAGAGGCTGCAGAAGATGAGTTACGTCAACTTCGAAGATACTCTCAAATACGTGTTGCTTCCCAACATCCGCATAGACAAACCTCCAGCTGCGGTTTCCAAATTTCTCTCAAGGTCTACTGCCAAGGATACAGGCAAAGGTCGAGATGACTACACGGTTATTTTTGAGTGGCTTCGTAACAAGGGCGTAAAGCGAATCTTCAATCTATATATCGACGATAGCGAACAGCCGGCTCACAGTGATGAGACCATTGAAAAAGCTCTCCAGGGAATTGAGGTGCTCAAGGTTTGGGATTGGCAGAGAACGGATCTCAGCTCCGAGGTCATAGCAAAAGCTGCCCCGAATGTCAGTCAAGTCAACCTCTACTGGGGTGGAAACAATGCTGTCCTGCGCAGCTGGAGTGAGTCAGAGGGCCTCAACCAACTAAGAAAGCTTGACACAGTCGTGCTGTATGCGACTCAGGTGCGCATGTTCCGAGTCTAGAAAGGTTCAAACACTGACTAGGATGCAGGGTTTGGAGACACGAGCGAGAGAGAAACGAAACTTGGATGCATTTTGCGCAAGACTGAAGTACAACAGAAGCCTGCTCATCGAAAGCATCGAAAGCAAGCAATTCAACGATTCCAAGAACCAAGAACCACTCCCACCAACAATCAAAGTCCAGCGAGATGCATCTCCTTTGAAGAAGACGGAACTCGGGGAGGGACTAACGGCCGCACAAGAGCAACAAAAGGATCAACATAAGTGGCTAACGTGCATGGATGAGTTCGCAACCTTCATTCAGAACGTCGATCTGGATACTTCGCGCTTGAATGGGGTTGAGCCGAGGCCAATCGTGGTAGCTCTTATCGACGACGGGTTAGACATCAACGAACAATCAGTAGTCGACAAAGTGATTGGAGGCCGCAGCTTCCGCAACCAAAACAATCTTAACGCGCCATACTGGGCAACTAGTGGCTTTCATGGCACCGTCATGGCAAGCCTGATCTGCAGGGTTTGTCCCATGGTCCAGCTTTACGTTCTTCGGCTCGATGAGTACAGTGCCAAAGAGCAAGGGAAACGGCAAATCACGGCTAAGAGCGCCGAAAAGGTACGTTCAACGCCCGTGAGCATATTCCATTGCACTGATTAACTAATCCCCGTCTCAAAGGCCGTGCGCGCAGCTATCGACCGAGGTGTAGACATCATCTCTATGTCGTGGACAATCGAGAAGACGGTTGACAACGAAGCCGACATCAGAAAGCTCGAACTTTCTCTGGACGAAGCGGCTAAGAAGAACATCCTTCTCTTCTGTTCTGCCAACGACCAGGCTACCGACGCCAATGGGAGCCATCCAGCCGCCAACCCAACACGCTTCAAGATCGGTGCCGCGACAGCATGGGGCACCGCCTGGCGCTGGACTCGGGCCTCTCATGTCGACTTCATCTTCCCTGGCGACCGGGTCATCAAAGACCGGCCTGGCAATGTGCCATTTGAGAAGTGCAGCCTAGTCAGCGGCTCGAGCGTCGCGACAGCCTTGGCGGCAGGTTTGGCTGCTTTGGTACTATATTGCGTACAGTTCTCGGTCTATCATCGCAATGCGACGAATCAGCAAGGCAAGGGCGTTACGTTGGAAGATTTCCAAGCTATGAAAACGCGTGATCGCATGGCGGAAGCGTTTCATGCAATCTATACCACCAGGGACAGCGATAATAAGTATATTGAGGTTTGGAATACTTTCGAGACAGCACCAAGAGAAGGGGAGGGTAAGGACAAGGATACTAAACGTGAGATTATCGTGACCGTGGCGAACAAACTGATTTCTAGAAGGAAATTAGTTTTTAGGTCTTGAAAGCTACTCTATCTTTAGTCTTCAAAGATGCATTTGTGTAGGAAAAATCCGGAACTTATTAAGAGTACAAAGTACAAGAGATAGCTAAAACAACAATAATGCGAAGCGCTGCACTGCCTGCCTACTATATTGGCCAACGTAGCGACCACAACGGCACAGCTGATGCACAACGAACGTATCACCATTCATACAACGATCACAATTTTGGAGCGCAGACGGCCAAAATGGCAAACAACACAACCATGGGAGATTTGACGGACAAATTTCGAAAAGCTCATCTATTTAGTGCATCCCATGAGTTCCTTTCTTACACTGGGAATTGCCTCACCAACCGCCAGTTTTTTCACTTCGCATTGTGATGTCTTTGCTAACAAGCATTCATCCTAGGCGAATCACTTCCACATTCCACTTGCATTTTCCTGAAACGTATGACGTTTTAGGAGAGGGAATCATCATTCCTCTTTTCCACATGGTAAGCCAGCCCCCAGATTTGTCGTCGGGAGTTTCCACCCCATCCATCGCTTCTCCATTCATGATGTCGAAGATGTAGGTGGGGGAGGCGACAAGAAAGTATGGCATAGCTCGTCGAAGTACCATAGGTGTTGGACAGCCGAACAATATCCATATCTCGTCACCAGGTCTTATCAAGGCCTTTCCTTCCGTAATAGCAAGAGTGATGGAAGGCGCGCTTTTAGGAGTAACGATAGGAGATATCGATGCTAAACGTCCTGAGAATAAAGTCTTATGCACCAACTGAATGAAATGTCCGAAGCGCTCGGTTTGGTCCACCATCCTCCCAACTGCAGCGGATTCCTTTTCAAGGTCGAGCCAGCGAAGACATGAGGGACGAAGATGACGGAACTTTCGCAGAGCCAGAAGTACAAATCTCAACTCCCTCTGCGAATGCTTGTATACTTTCGTCGCATATGGAAACAGGTCGGCAATGCGAATTCCAGGAGTGACGAAAGAGTAATCAAGCAAGATGCCTGTGTAGAGAATAGCTTCGCTTTCGCTAAAATAGTCGCGGGCTATGCGAAGCTCAGCCATAGCTGGACCAGTAAGAGTGGATGCAAGCTTTTTGATATCGCCATAGTGACACATTGGGGACTTTACAACTGTAATGAATAGGCTTGACAATACTGAGAAGGGGGTTGAGGAGTTATCGGTAGTTGAGAGCGTTCGATCGACCGTAGCATACTTGAAGCCCCTAGCGTGTAGAATACCATCTTCCATGTCGGCTTGGAAAGGCGTACTGTACATGGGTAAGTCTCCCGCAGCATGGAAGGCGCTCAAGAAGTATTCCGCGTTTCCTGGAGAGCTCCAATTCGGGGCCCACGAAGGCAAGTCCTGGATATCATCGTTCGAGTTAATGGAAGTTTTGGCCATGGCTAAGAATAGGAGGCTATTGCATTCGAATGGCAGTAGCCAAGCGACTCGATGATACAGTTCGGCAACAGTTTGGCTGTAATCCGCCTCGGCACCATCGTCATCGTAGTCGATGACTAGGTTTAGAACGGCTCTCACCCGGTCTCTTGGATCCGTTAACTTTAGGGCCTGTGACTGCCGTAGCATACCCAACAGATAGATTGGGTTGGTGCTCAGGTGTGAACTCATTTTCCTAGGATCAAGCTTCCATTTAACCTTTGGTATCAGAAGAGTAAAATCCGGCTTGAGAGTAAGTGGATCGACCGGCACCTTGCTCTTCGTCATCGCCCGCCAACAAGCTAAATTCCGCGAAGGGGCCTTGATCGTCGACTCTAGCGGTCTAAACAGGCCCCATGGATCATCATTATCAAATGGGCCCTTACCACCAGTCAACTTGCGGAAAACCTGAAGTTGAAGTGCCATTAAACAGTTTCCGGGGATGGTCACCCCACGGCAGTAAAATACCAATTCTGGTGCGAAGACAAGCTCCTGTTGTATCCAGAGCCTATCCCAATAATCATTCTGAAGAAGCGGGAGAAGGACTTTCCAGTACTCGGGATCATCGCCCAGCTGATCGTCGTTGTCTTGTAGTCGAAGAGTGAAGAGCTTTTGAACAACGGGATCCTCAAGAGAGAGTTCTACATCAATCCAAACTCTCACAGTACTGGCTCGAGAGTAGACCTCTTTCATCAGATGAATCTGGTTCCCTTTCTCCTCATCATCCCGTTGGTTGATGCATACGGCGTCTGCCCAAAGATAGCGTGCACTGCCCCGCAGGCGCACATGTCTCAGAGCGTTCTCGAGCGATCTAGTCACGGGAAATGGTTTATTGTCGAGAAACATGCTTCCCGTAAGTGATGAGTCTCCCCACATATACGAAAGTGCGTCGTACTTTGGATTGCTTTCGATTCTCTTAATACGCGATCGGCAACGTAGAGGATCACCGAATGAGCCGGGAAGAAGTTTGAGGATTCGAATATCGCCGGTCGTCACCATGTGATAGTTCGCAATTGAACCGGTGAGGAAAAGAGCATCGGCAGGTGCATCTTTCGGAGGGAACGATCCATCGTTTTTGTATATGCGTCGTATACCTTTTCTCAAAGGTGTATAGTTGTAATTTCCAGTACCTTGACCCATCTTGAGAAATTCCTGATGATGTCGACTTTCGGTTTTCTTTTGATTGCGACGTTGAACTGTTGGAAGGAAAAATAGCAGTATGTGGAGTTGGGCATCATTATACAGAGAAAAGGCACTGCACTGCCTACCTACCAGATTGGCCAACACAGCGACCCCCGCGGCACAGTTGAGGCACGGCAGTGGGCATTGGACGAAAGGTTCCCAGTTGCTGTCGAGGTGCTGACCGGAATATGCACAGCCACCCGCCAATAGCCATTAACGTACAACCGCTTGCGATTCGGTAGCCAGGCGCCGACAGCATCTTAAATTATTGTTGTGAGATGGCTACATATTTGTTGCATCATCTGTGTTACACAAATACTGCATTAGACAGGCGTTTGTAGGTGTATGTGGACTAAAGTTTGTTTGGAGTGAAAGTACCCCTCCAACGTTCCTTCTCGGGGGTTACCTCAACCCAGGGATATTATTAGTCAGAAAGTGGAAAGTATCATCCTCTATCGATTGACATGAGCTGATCAATTTCTGAGTGTAATCTCAATCTTGAAAAGTATAACTCATATTATAGACCCGATTTGCGCTAGCACACTCTCTATGTCCTGGTGATGGTGGTATCTCATTGCAAATTACACGTTACTGCTTATTCCCATTCGCTGTCTTCATGCAGAACAACCAAATCCAAAACATCTCCATAACCCAGCTCAACTCAACTAACAGCAGCACTCGTCGCAACAGGCGCATTTAACAAGCCTGCACTCGCCTCGTTCTCCAGACTGATCTTCATCTCCAGCCAAGAGTAAAAGTTCGGACTCTTGCAAAAAGTCTCGTACAGTCCATCCCTGGCGCGATGGCGTTGAATAGGCCCAGAGCCGCGAAACTTGACACTCGTACCGTGTTTGCTTACGCTGCTCATGAGATCTGGTACATGGAAGCTGGCATATCTGTTGTTGCCGCCTGGCGTCACTATGTTAGACGTTGCGAGGTATCGGTTGATGGGCGATATGAACTGTGCGGTAAGGTCTGCGAAATGGCGACGGATGATAGGACCGAGTTCGCGGGTTTGATCGCCGAGTTTGAGCAGAGTTTCGATCTGCGATACGACAGTCGGGTCTGATTTGAGGAAGCGTTTAGAGGGAGTGTGGACTTCAATACCGCCGCCGGGGAGGTCTAGAAGTGCGTTGCGACTTGATTTGTGGTGGAGCGAGTGATGGCGACGTGTTGGAACTGGGCCGTCAAAGTTCTGGAGATAGAGGATGTGTGGCCGGGCTTTGTGGCTGGCTTCTGCTGCTGCGACGATGCGTTTCAACAGGAAAGGGTTGGTGATGCCGATGACAAATGAGGTTGGGGTTCCACCGTCGATGCCGATGCTTTTGAAGTTGGCTTGCATGGTCATGTAGGGTTTGACCACACCTGCGTATGGCACGGGGCAAATGAGATCGACCAGCGACGAGACGGCTTCGCTCGCCAGTTGTGGTGACTTTGCGATGACGATGACGCTTTCGCAGAGTATCAGCTTCTCGTACAGTACGTAAAGGTCGGTGATGCAGGGCATATAGTGCATGATGTTGTCCCAGGAGCCGATAGGTTCATAGGCGTAGATGGACAAGGGTATATCTGAGATTAGTGGCGTGGGCCCTGGGAGTCCTTGCAGGGGGAAGGCACGATGTGGTGCAATGTCCAAAGTCAGTGTGGTGCCCATGAATGGGAGATGGTGACGTCCCAGAGCTGGAGGCTCCCATGTGTTCATCTGCGAGTGTGCAGATTCTATAGTTGTCGGATCGCTGAGATGTCCCGACTCTGTCATCTTTTGCAAGATGCGATGATGGAAGGAAGTGAAGTTGTGGTGTGAGATCAGAACAAGAGTTCTCTGGTTGAAGCTTCTCTTCATGGTATCATCGAACTCTTGGCGGAAGATACACGAGCCGTAAAAGGTGTCAGCGCTGCCATGAGGGGCATTCGGCGAACTTAGTTTGATGTCAGGCGAATTGTTGGTAATGGCGAAGTCGTAAGAGAGATCCTCGGCTGTCTCTGTGTTCTGTTGCTCAGGGAAGCTAGACGCGTCTTAGATTGGCACGACACAGGACTGGCTGATTCAGGTACCTGTTGAAGCATATAGCACTCAAGTCGGCCGTCGTAAAGGGCACATCTGGTGGGTACAGTATCTCGATTTCTGGGCTACCAAACTCAATACATTTCTCATAGACATGACACTAGCAATTACCTACCCGATATCGACATTGAAGTTGCAGACGATACTGCTGCCGTAAGCACTCGCCACTCAGGGCAGAGACATGCAGGACTTACAAAGCCACAGCCCAGTGCTTGAAGCCGCCAGTCGCGATGGGCGAGACTTTTGGTTCCTTTAGTTTTTCCATGTCTTCCTCTCGCTGGGAGCGACGGTGAGGCTTCAGAAACTTATTCTTAAACCTGTCCATGGACCAGCTTGTGGCACCTGACAGGTGCAGGTGAACTGCGAGTGAGGTGAGGCGGCGACGGGCAAGGGCGTTGGCCAGAGCGAGCGAGTGACTTGGACAGACTAAGCGCCTAGCGGCAAGGGGAGCTGCCAATCGTCATGACAGCTGTGGTCGTGAGGAAGGGCAGTTGTGCGTCGTCGAGACATGTTGAGATGGGCGTGGGGAGTTTGTTTTGGGACATGTCTCGTCTATCGGCGGGTTCTAGTGGGCAGGGATGGGGGCGCTTGTGTAGGTGTACGATGACGTGCGGGCCCGGCTCGCATGCATGGTTCGCTCGGCTGCTGCTGGCTGTATCGTGAGCGAGCAAACACCAACATACGCGACCACCGACCCCGACCCCGACCCTGACCCCGCAGCAAAGCATAGAGCGCAAGATGCGACAAGCTGCCTGCTGCACCATGTAGATTTGTCCCCCACATGTAGAGTTGTCCCCCACCATGGACGTCAACATCACCAAAGCCCTCAATGACAAGCTCTACGACAAGCGCAAGAGCGGCGCGCTCGAACTCGAGGGCCTCATCCGGGACGCTCTCGCCGCCCAGGACCACGACAGGATAGCCCGCATCGTGCACCAGCTCTGCCACGAGTACGCCTATGCGGTTCACCAGCCCCACGCCCGCAACGGCGGTCTCATCGGACTCGCGGCTGCCTCGATAGCCCTGGGCCCAGAAGTCGCCCGCTATCTCGAGGAGATCGTGCCCCCCGTCCTGGCCTGCTTCGGCGACCAAGATGCGCGTGTCAGGTACTATGCATGCGAGAGCATGTACAACATCGCAAAGGTGGCCAAGGGCGAGATACTCGTCTACTTCAACCACGTCTTTGACGCGCTCTGCAAGGTGAGGACATGGCTACCGCACAAACTCCCCTCGTGAGACCAGGCTAACACGGCCCGGACCGTCCAGATGGCTGCAGATTCAGAGCTCTCTGTCAAGAACGGGGCAGAACTATTGGATCGCCTGATCAAAGACATCGTCTCAGAGTCAGCCGCCAGCTACGTCTCTGTGCTACACGACACACCCGATCAGGACGACCCCGAAGACGAACCCCACCCGTTCGCCTTCAACCTCGAACGCTTCCTGCCCCTCCTCGAAGAGCGCATCAACGTCCTGAACCCCTTCACGCGCTCTTTCCTCGTGGCATGGATCACCCTGCTCGACTCCATACCCGATCTCGAGCTCATCGCCCACCTCCCACGCTTCCTCGGCGGCCTCTTCAAGTTTCTGAGCGACAGCAACCAGGATGTATACACCATGACGCAGCAGGCGCTAGACCGATTTCTTGCTGAGATCAAGAAGATTGCACGCATCAAGAAGGGTATAGCCGACAGCAAAGGGGGCAACGAGAAACTAGAACGCAGGCACTCTACGGGTAGCATCCATAGTGGAAGCGAAGCGACAGACAGCACGCCCCTCGAGCTCGACAATTCCATCGACGAGAAGGGCGATGCAAGTGGAGAGAGTGCTTCTGTCTCCGGCGACAGTGGAAGGTCTGTCAACGGAGACGGAAACTGGATACCTGGCCAGGACGTGCACGTCGACCATCCCAAGATTCTTGAGATCCTGGTTGACTTTTTGGTTCCCCCACCAGACACGGAAGAAGAGCAGACTGAGATACTGCTGACAGCACTCCGCTGGATTGACAACTTCTTCGACATATGCCCAGAAGACATCATGCCGTTTGTCCCAAGTCTCTTGTCCCACGTCCTGCCACGAATGTCACATGAAGTCGACACCGTTCGCAAGGCTGCAGTCAAGGTTAACGCTTCGTTGATGGACTATATCCTGTCATTGTCTGATGACAACCGCCCCCGCGACGGTGCTGCAGGTGGACAAATCCAGCTACCTCCTTCCCTATCTGAGCTAGGCAAAGAGCTCACTGGAACACAGCGGCGAGATTCTAATCTATCTGGCCGATTGCTCAAGGCAGTCATTCGAGATCAAGCCAACAAGGCTGAATCGCCCGATGGCAAGGGCACACGCTCCCCCACACCAGCAGAAGAAAGAGGCACATCGCCGCGTCCAATACCAGAGCTGGACTACCAAGCTGCTGTTAGTGCTCTGACCCTGCAGTTTCTAAATGAACACGAGGCCACTCGCGTTGCGGCCATAGCATGGCTGATAATGCTGCACAGGATGGCACCTGGCAGAGTAAGTACAGGCTTTTCGGTAACAAAGTCATTGCTGACAATCTGCAGATACTGACAGTGGACGACGGTACCTTTCCTGCGCTGCTCAAGACCCTTTCTGATCCTTCGGATGCTGTGGTCACGCGTGACCTGCTACTTCTGTCACAAATATCCCTGCACAGCGACGATACGTACTTTACTTCCTTCATGGTCAATCTCCTGAAGCTGTTCTGTACGGACCGCCGACTTCTTGAGACCCGTGGCAATCTCATCATCAGGCAGCTCTGCATAACACTGAGCGCAGAGCGCATATATCGCACCATGGCTGATTGTCTTGCGAAAGATGAGGATGTCGAATTTGCTAGCATCATGGTCCAGAATCTCAACAACAATCTGATCACTGCACCAGAGCTCGCCGATTTACGAAGACGACTCAGGAATCTAGACAATAAGGACGGACAATCTTTCTTCGTCATTTTGTTTAAAGCGTGGTGCAACAATGCTGTGGCCACCTTCTCACTGTGTCTTCTTGCCCAAGCTTATGAGCAAGCATACCACTTGCTCCAGGTTTTGTATGTTTGGCCCTGTGAAATTATATAGGACAGCCTGCTAACCCTACCAGTGCGGATCTTGAGATGACAGTCAACATGCTCATACAAATCGACAAGCTCGTTCAGCTCTTAGAATCTCCCGTCTTCACATGTAAGATCTTCGACTCTTCAAACCCAAGTATTCCCGCTAACAGTACTGGCCTAGACCTTCGAATGCAACTCCTCGAGCCGGAACGGTACCCGCATCTCTACAAGTGCATGTACGGTCTGCTCATGCTACTGCCTCAATCATCGGCTTTTGCAGCGCTTAAGAACCGCCTCAACAGCGTCTCGGCCATCGGCTACCTGCACATTGCGCCGCAACGCAGCAGCTCGACGTATGTTCACCCTTCCTCCTCCTCTCCTACTTTAAACCACTTGCGGCAAAAAAGCTCAGAAGTTGGCTCGAACAGCAGTAGTAGCAGCGGTATTCCGTCGTCTGGGGGACCCAGTGCTTCGACATTCGAACGCCCAGGCCGGTTGAAACCCAGAGATGGTCTGGGTGGACCGGAAGCGGGTGGCAGCGTGAAGTGGACAGAGTTGCTGGAGAGATTCAAGCAAACGCAGGAAAAAGCCAGGCGTAGTCAGCGGATGGCCAGCATGGGTGAAGAGGAAGAGGTGCAGGAGAAGATGGGACCGACTGCCCCTACGCCACCTATACCACCCAAACCTGCAGGACTAAGGCCTGGTAGTCCGGCGGGCGCCATGAGGCCACCTCCCGCGCCTGTGCCGCCAGGTCCAGCGCAGGGGCATAAGCCCAGGTCCAGTCTAAGTAACCTGGGGCGATTTGCTGGGGGTGTAGCCGGAAGACGAAAGGACAAGAAGTAAGACTCGATAGTCGTTTCTAGCTTTGTGATTTATGCGTTGGCGTAAGTGGACACAACTGCATTGTGGGCGTTGTCTGGGAGCAGTAATGATGGGTATTTTTCCAAGCATGACTGGCGTAATCTGATCCATCTTCAGCGATGTTTACCCTTCCTGAACCTAATCCCATCCCCGTCTTTCTCCTTCCATGCCGTTGTGTCACCCTCTTTTCCGTCTTCGTCGCCCAAGACCCAAGTTTTGACAATCTCCTTGATCTCGGGCTTCTTCTTCTCCACCCTCTTTGCCTCGCGCACCTTTCTCACGTAACCACTGTAGACAGCCACTTCTGCAACTGCAATGCCCAACGACCCTCCCATGCTCAGTCCCAATCTACTTCCCACACTCCAGTGTCGCGCTGCAACCCAGATGAAGACCGCAACACAGACTATCGAAATAAGGATATTTATGATCAAAATGATCTGGCGGTGCACTTCTTCATAGGAGAGGTCGTCTTCTTCACTGGTGGTTTGCGTTGCCCCAAGTGAAAAGGGCTCTGGGGCACGAGGGGAACGCTGGGAGAAGGACTCGCGTGTTGGTGGGGGATGCAGCATGCGCTCATAAGAGAGGGCTTCTTGCTCAGCGCGGAGACGGGCCATCAGGGCGAGGTATTCGGGTGTCTGGGTAGGTTTGGGAGGAGGGGGCGGGATGTAGACTGTTGTGTTGGCGAGGAGGGCGGCGAGGGTTAGGGGTGTGGTTTCTTGGTCGTCCTCTGTGTCTTGAGTATCCTTGGAGACATGGCTCTTGAGCAGCTTGGATAGGTCGATCAACTGGCTGTGGGAGATGGGATTCCCAACTTTGGGTTCTGCCAGCGCAGGCGAGTCGGCGTGCTGGAGTTTTGCGTATCCGTCGGCGGATAGGTGTTTGGCTTTTGCGACTGCCCGGACGATGCCGGGAGTCATAGTAAGCAGGACCATTTTGGATTATCGTGTGTTGTAAGAAACGCTGTCACCTTGTCACCAGGCACGCGGGTGAGCAGACGCGACAGGGATATGCGGAACCCAGGGAAGCTAGCGCTCCGAACGTCATGGATATTTTGACTTGGTCAAATCTAGCCGATAGCTGCGGGCGAATGTCCACCACCACCCTCTTTGCACGCCCCAAAGACGCTGATACAGCCCCTCAATTGCACCCTCTCTTTCTTTTTGCCGAGACAATTTTGAGCTAGACCCTTCGATGACGAGCCGAACACCCCGGCTTGCGACCTCTGTCGCGCGACAGCAAACTTCCTTCTCTCTATCGCGCCGCTCCACATGTCCCAACCGCTCAATACACACCCATAATGCGACGACACCGACGCTCCACCACCCTTCACGGCGGCGGAACCAGTCCTCGTGGGCTGCCGCCGTCAACGTAGCGCAAAATGTCATGTCTTCGCCGCCACCAGATGCGCCCATCAAGATGGACCCTTTCCAAACCGTTGCCCGCGAAATGAAGTTTCTCACTGGAAATATTCGACAATTACTCGGCTCGGGCCACCCGACCCTCGACACAGTCGCCAAGTACTACACACAGAGTGAGGGGAAATATGTACGGCCCATGTTGGTATTGCTTATGAGCAGGGCCACGGCACTTACGCCGCGGGGTTCAAGAGGAGGCATGGGCATCGGGGCCCAGAGCGCCGATATTTCGATAACCAACCCCCGGATCCTGGCAGACGAGAATCCAGATCAGAGTCCCATTAGCAGTATACGACACGACTCGGCGTATACCGCTGAAGACAGCGACATCCTCCCGTCCCAACGCCGCTTAGCAGAAATCACCGAACTCATCCACACAGCCAGTCTCCTCCACGACGATGTCATCGACCACTCCGTCTCCCGCCGCTCCGCGCCCTCGGCCAACATTGAGTTTGGCAACAAAATGGCCGTTCTAGCAGGCGACTTCTTGCTCGGAAGAGCGTCCGTTGCGCTGGCCCGACTCCGCGATCCAGAGGTCACGGAACTTTTGGCTACCGTCATTGCAAATCTGGTCGAGGGCGAATTCATGCAGCTCAAGAACACGGCGCGGGATGAGAAGAATCCTTCGTGGACCGAAGACACAGTCACTTACTACCTGCAAAAAACATACCTTAAGTCTGCGTCGCTCATTTCTAAAAGTTGTCGCGCTGCCGCTATTCTGGGAGGTTCGTCCCCAGAGGTCGTCGAGGCGGCGTATCTGTACGGCAAGAACCTTGGTCTGGCGTTCCAACTTGTGGACGATATGCTGGATTACACTGTTAGTGAGGCTGAGTTGGGTAAGCCGGCTGGTGCAGATTTGGAACTCGGACTTGCGACGGCGCCGTTGTTGTTTGCATGGAAGGATGACCAGAGTTTGGGCAAATTGGTTGGAAGGAAGTTCTCGCAGCAGGGCGATGTTCAACGGGTGAGTAAACAGAGTCGTAATTAAGATTTGGGGAGAGAGAGTGGGTTCAGGCTGACATTTACGTGACCACAGGCTCGCGAAATCGTTTCCCAAAGCACAGGGTTAGAACAAACCCGCGCTCTAGCACAAGACTACGTCGACAAGGCCATCGACGCTATATCCTTCTTCCCCGAGAGCGAGGCGAAAACTGGTCTCATCGAAATGTGCACCAAGGTCATGAAGAGGAGGAAATGAGCGAATCTTTGACGCAAAAACAACACATCGGGAATGAGGCCACAAAAGTGATTTCAACGCTTTAGATCTTCGCAGAGAAACCTGTACGAATATCATTTGGTGTATACGGCACGACCACTTACAATACGAGGAGCGTGGTTTTGGGATCTACATGTAGGAAGTCATGTTCATGTGTCGATACGGCAGTACGATGAGTACTTGCATGTCCACTGGTCCATGCTATGTCTGGCGGAGAAACTCTACTTCTGTATATATACATGTTTACGAAATACTAGACAAGTACGACCCAGTCGTCGGAAGCGTTTAGATGTCATCCTCAAACGGCCGCACGACTTGTCCCTTTTCTTGGAGGTGGTCCTTGACTTGCTTGACTGTGTATTCGCCTCGGTGGAACTAGAAAAGTCGTCAGTATCTTGGGTACACCTATGCTGTGTGTGTTTTTTTTTTCCAGTGTACTCACCATTCCAGCGCCCAACGCAGCATCAGTCTTTGTCTTTGCAAAGACGTCTTCGAAATGGCCTGGGTGTCCCGCGCCACTGCTTGCGATGACAGGAATCTTGATCGCGTTCTTGACATCGTTGATGAGCTCAGTGTCAAATCCACTGTTACTTCCATCTTTGTCTATGCAGTTTAGCAGAATCTCTCCAGCGCCCATGGCTTCTACTGCAGTGACGAGTTGTCGGACGTCAAAGTCGCGGCCCTCGCGCCCGCCCTTGATGGTGCATTGGTACCAGCAGTACTCCTCGCCATTGGGTCCAGGAGTCGAGGTCTTGATAGTGTGGTGGGGTGTGGCGTCTGGTGAGGAGACGTATACGCGTTTTGGATCTACGCTGATGACGACAGCTTGGTTGCCGTATGCAGAGGAGATGGCTTCTATGGCAGTGGTACCTGCTAGCTTGCTACCTCGCGCGTAGTATTCCTCGGCTGCGGTCACGGCATCAGAGCCTATGCTTACTTTGTCGGCGCCAGACTTGAAGTACATGGTTGCAATGTCCAAGGCGGAGATCTTGGTTCCGTCTGTGTCTACTGTATCGCGTATGCCTCCGCCTATTGTCAGGGGAACGAAGACTGTCTCACTGGTTCGGCGCAGGATTTCGAGCATAGGTGTGTCGGCTACGGGGCAGTTACGGAAGGATGTGATGTTCAGGAAGGTGACTTCGTCGGCGCCTTGTTCGTAGTATTTCTTGGCCATTTCGACAGGTTTACCCAGGTTGCGCACTGCATTCCCGGCTCCCTCCTTCTCGCGGACGTCGTATTGGTCACCTTTTGTCACTACGAGATCGCCCTGGTCGTTTGTCCGTACGTCAAGACACGCGATGACGCGTCGTGTCAGTCCTTCTTTCGTCTCAGCCGCCGATGGCTTCTCTGGGAGTTTCTGCCACATATTTCCTTCTAAGAAGGCCTTCAGTACGCGTAGGCCGGCAGCACCACTTTTCTCAGGGTGAAACTGCGTGGCGAAGACGTTCCCCTTGGCTACTGCACCAACGAATTCCTCGTCACCGTATCGTGCGGTTGCGACGGTCCAGCCTTCCTTCTCCAACTTGCCCTCCTCGTATGGCACAGCGTATGTGTGGACATAGTAGTACTTGGAAGTCGGTCGCAGTCCGTATAATGAGTCATCCGTGACTCCGCCGGTGCGCGATGTGTTTGCGCTGTTCCATCCGATGTGGGGTACGCTCTTGTCTGTGTCTTTGAACTTGCGTAGTCGCCCAGGAATAACACCTAGACCTTTGACCTGGGGATCTTCCTCTGAGCTCTCAAACAAGGCCTGTATGCCCACACATATTCCCATGAACGGTTTCCCTGACTTGATGTGTTCGCGAATCGGGTCGGCGTAGCCAGCTTTCTCCAGCTGGGAGAGACAGTGTCCGAAATGGCCGACGCCAGGAATGATAAGTTTCTACGGGCGATGCTGTATCAGCATTTGTCAATTGATGCGCGTTTCTTCGTGGCAAGGTTGTAGTACCTCGGCGGAGGGGACGTCGGCGGGCGTCTTGACCCATTCGACGGTGTAGCCAACCTTCTCGATGGCATTGACGAGAGAGCGGACGTTGCCCGCGACGTAGTCGAGTAGGTGAACAGTCGGCATGGCTGGACAGGTGAGTAGAGGAATGAGTGTAAGAGTGTTGGACTCGAACAGTCACAGGAAATTTGGATGCACCCCGCCGTCATTGGAGGGGCAGTCATAGCGCTAGCCGCTAGTGCCCGCGGACCCCTGTCAAATAATTCTTTGGCTTCATCGTCTCGCGACAGATGCGCGAAGAAACAACCACCACCTCTATCACGTACCGAAACCCCATACCCGCAACGCCAACATGGTGCGAAAGCTAAAGCATCATGAGCAGAAGCTCTTGAAGAAGGTACGGACCGCCTGTTGCTCGCCGCTGCTGTAGCGCATCGCCGTCTGAATACGCCATTCTCTTCACTGTCAATGGCGACATGTCGAGCGCATCAGACGCCTGAAAAGATGTTTGATACTAGTTCCATGATACTGACATGTTTTTGTAGGTCGACTTCAACACGTACAAAAGCGACAATGATCACCGGGAAGCAGCCGTCATGCGTCGCTACGCAATCCAAGGACGCGACGATTACCGAAAATACAATCAGCTCGCCGGATCCCTGCGACAACTTGCCCATCGCGTAGCCGCTCTCGATCCGTCCGACCCCTTCCGTCACAAGCAGGAGGACTTGATCTTGGAGAAGTTGTTCTCCATGGGTCTGCTCGGTACCGGTGGTGGCGGCCGTGGAAAACTCTCAGACGTTGAACACAAGCTTACGGTGTCGGCATTTGCACGGAGGAGGTTACCGGTTGTCATGACTAGGCTACGCATGGCAGATCATGTACAGTCTGCTGTCACACTCGTCGAGCAAGGAGTAAGATCACAGTCGGCTCTCAATCAGGAACTTGGTCACTAACACATTCACAGCATGTCAGAGTCGGTACGGATGTCGTCACGGACCCGGCCTACCTTGTCACAAGGAACATGGAAGATTTTGTCACCTGGGTCGATTCCTCCAAGATCAAGCGCAACATTATGAAGTACCGCGACAAGCTGGACGACTTCGAACTCGAGGCGCTATAAGCTCTGACATCTCTTTCATTGGGTGGCGTTAATAAATGCAGCATTTGAAGGCGTTTCGAAATACTCGCGATATCCGGTCATGACACAAATTGATTTTTTTCTCGCTATTGAATTCGTTCTTTCGGGTTTCTCGTATACTATCAAGTCAGGTTAATGCACGACTCACTTTACAAGGGCGGATGAAGTGCTCCAAGCATTCCATCGCAAAGCTGATGAACCGCGAAACTCTCGCACCACAAATGAAATGTTGGGAAAACCGCGCGGTGACATCGGTTACACTACAACAACGGCAGCCATCAAATTCCCCGCGCGATCTCTTTTCGATGGTTGCACAGCAGGACAACGATAGCCATCCTCGAGTGGACTGGAAACAGGCATTGGCTATCCTTTTCCGACTGGAGAAGCGCTAACCAATGAGATCTTCCAGATTACGCCACACAGCATGCTGTTCTTTACCGTGACCGGCAATGACGGTGCTCTCGCTTATTCTGTAGTAAAGGACCAAAGCATACCCGAATGTGAATCGCTTACTGGTGCATAAGTGGCATGTCGCTATCTCCATGCGTGAGTGGGGCGATTTGGGGTTAATCCTGGGGTAGCGAGCGGGTCATAGCAACCAACGGACGTAACGGATGGTGAGGGTGGTATTTAGGATGCCGCTGATCCTTCAAGCTCAGTGTTGGAGATTTTCGAATAGTCCCGTCCAGATCTTCCTTCACCTTGCTTCACCATGGCCGCAAAAGGGGAGAACGAGTCCTCGGCGGCATACATCGAAGCGCTCGACGACAGCACGAACACATCTGATCAAGACGACCGTTTCTCCAGCAATGACGCCAACGAGCAAATCGTCCGTCATTTACAGACCACCGGTGAAGATGTGGGCTTGACTTGTGCGTATCTTGACTGACACACGCCTTCTACACCCACCATATCTAACACAGTGTAGTTCGCACATTGATGGCCGCTGTATCAATGGCCATGTGCTACAACGCCTATTTGTTCACTCTCCTCATCCCGCCAGCCATCCTTACGTACATCAATGCCGAACTTGGTCCAGATCCCAGATATACATGGATTACGATATCATGGAACCTCGGCGGCGCCATGTTCGTCACCGTCGGTGGACGACTCTCCGATATATTCGGCCGACGATGGTTTTTCATTGCGGGAGCTGTGATCCTCATCATTGGCAGCATTGTTTCAGCAACGGGACAAAGCATCAACCAAATGATCGCCGGTGGTGCTTTGTTCGGCTGCGGCTCCGGATTCCTGGAGATGGCGTTTGGTGCGGTGCAAGAGATTGTACCGAGCAAATATCGACATGTTACCATCGGGTTATTCGACGCTGCTTCGATCATATCACAAATCATGCCGTTAGTCAGCTGGGTCATCATCAAGCAGACGGGTAATTGGCGCATCTGCTACTACGTCATGATAGGTTTCCAGACCATCAATCTTGCCCTACTCGTCTTCTTCTACCATCCGCCGTCATGGAAAGAGAAGAGGGCTGAACATGGAAAGTCGGCTGGACAGCTTTTGCGAGAGTTTGACTGGTTGGGGTTATTTCTGTTCCTGGCTGGCTGTACCTTGTTCATCGTTGGGGTGAGCTGGGGGGGATCCGTGGCTCCGTGGGTTTCTGCGACGGTTCTCGCACCCATCATCATCGGACTGGTGACGTTGATTGGATTGGGATTCTATGAAGCCTACTATACCCAAGCCGCGCCCTTGTTTCCGCCACGTCTCTTCAGAGCCCTCCGTCACTTCACTGTTCCAATGCTCGTCATGGCCATAGGTGGAATGCAATACTACTCCAACGCAACGCTCTGGCCTCGCCTTTCCCAGCTCATCTACGCTAGCGATGAAATCTCCAAAGGCCTGTACGCTGAGGTCCTACCTCTAGGAACCATCATCGGCGGCATCATTGTAGCTTTCAGTAAGATTATCGGTCATCAGCGTTGGGTCATCATGTTCGCCGTCGCTTTACAAACAGCCTGTGTAGGCGCTATGTCCACCTCCACAATGGACAATCCCGCCAAGTCAATCGTTCTGACAGTCATCATTTCGACATGTACCTCTGTCAATCTTCTCAACGGCATGGTTCTGGTAGGCTTCGGTATCGTGTACCAAGAAGATATCGGCACTGCTGCAGGTCTAGCAGGAACTTCCCGTCTCCTCGCTGGCGCGGTAGCCACTGCCATCTTCGGTAATGTCACGAATAACAAGTATGGGGATGTTCTACCTGAGCGCGTTCGTGCTAATCTCGCTCCGTTTAATCTTTCGGCGGATGTTGTCACTAGATTGATTGTCGCTGCGAAGGCGAACACTGCGGCTGGGTACGCGACTATTCCTGGTATCACCCCTGCTATTCGTGCTGCCGCGAGCTTGGGAAATAAGCAAGCGTATCTTGAAGGCGCACACTTGTCGTATCTGGTAGCACTGCCGTTTGGGCTGCTGGGTGTGGTGGCCGCGTTCTTCATTCCGTCGGTGGATAAGAGGAAATACACCAACAAGACCGTTGCGGTGCAGAAACAAGATAGAAGGGTTTTGCAGGAGAAGAAGATTGCGGAAACTGGAGGGCTATGAGTTTAATCGCTTCTCGAAGTTCTTTCTATCACGGATTCACGTTGTACATGCATTGTCACCAATAAATCTTTTCTCATTCAGCTTACCTTTACCTAGTATGTTGATGTGTTAAGGGTGAAGGCTCAACACGTGTTTGCTGTGTTTAAGCACTCACCTGTCAGACCCTCGCATAGGTATCGATTTGTACGCTCTACACGCTGGCAAAAACAAAAACATACAACAGCGGGGATTCGCTAGTGGTCACCCACCTAACTACTAATCCGCCGGTACACTGCTTGTATATGGCTGAGCGGACGGGAAGCCTAATTTTCAGTGTCCTATGGTCGTATGTGAAAGAACATGTCATTTTTGAATTACTTAACGCCTACTGAGTCTCGAATCCTGAACGTTTTGGCCCTCGAATGGCCAAATTGACACTCTGGGTAGAATCTCGGAAGTAGGGTGCTTGCACAGGGGAACAATGAAGGATGTTCCATTCTTCGATTGATATCATGAACGATCAGGGTATAACGAACTTGCTAAGTATGAGGAGAGAATTACTCATCAAATTACATCGACAGACCACACCATTACATCAAGCCGTGAAGATGTTCAAGGGGGTAGCATCCCGGCTTTACAGGCTTGCCTCGAGAAGATGTTCACATCTTGGTCACCTCGTCCTTCTCTACAATGTTCTTGTCTTCCACTGCACCAACTCCACCGCCACCACCAATAGGTTCATTTACGTAGTCAGCACGGGAGCCTGTCTCATGGAATTCGAAAAGCGGCTCCATTGGCGCAACATCCTGACGTAGAATGTGTTTCTTCAAGTACCATGGCAACTTCTTAGTGTAGTAGGCCGAGAACTGGCGGTTGCCCACGTCGAAAACAGTATCCAGTTCTTCCAGAGTAAGAGCCTTGGTCTCTGGCAGGAAGAAGTAGGCGTAGACGAAACCAAAGAAGTTCCAAGCTGCATACCAACAGAATGCACCAGTCGGTGTGAAGGCAGCGCTGAGGGCGGGCCAGGTAAGGGAAAGTATGAAGTTGAATCCCCAACATGTTGCAGTGGCGAAAGACATTCCAACATCGCGTAGGTGAAGCGGGAATGCTTCGGCCGAGTATGTGAAGGGCACTGGACCTTCGCCAGGCGAGTAGACAGCCATGAATGTGTAGATAGCAGCGGCGATCGAACCAAGACGTTGCTGACTTGGTGTGTTATCGGGGTTCTCAGGTAGGTAGAAGGATAATCCGCACCAGAGAAGACAAAGACCCATAAGAGGAAATGTGGTGAGTAGTAGATTCCTTCGTCCAAAGGTATCAATCGTATAGATTGCCGGAATCGCGAAAAGGAAATTCGTTATGCCAGTACCCATCGACGTAAGCAAAGCCTCAGATGTCGTGAAGCCAGCTTCCTTGAAAATCGCGGTACTATAGTAGGCGA